CTGCTGACGATCTCGACGTAACGATCATACTTAGGGATGACCTGTAGGTAACACGAAATGTAAAACATAAGGTGCTGACGAAATAATACGAGGACGACAGAGGGATGATTCTCATTGAGACAGATGACCTTCTCAACATCCTGGAGTTCAATCACAATACCTAACATGGTTATGCCATCGAACGCTGGGCAGCAGTTGGAACTTACCAGGTTCTTTGCTGTCATCCGTTGTTGCCTCTTCTTTCAAGGGGGTGAATTTGACCGAGTCGAGGTTGCGGTTGAGGATCCCAGTGCCTGACCAAAGCCCGTCATCGACACATTATTGCTCGATAGCATGTCATACAGATAGCTGACTTGGTGACGGGCTCGTCGTCGGAATCGCCATCATCATGTTCGACACGGAGAATTACCGGAATCCTGAAAAGAGAAACTTCAGTGGGGACATAGGCGACAACAAATCTTGAGTAGCAAACCATAGTATACGTCTTGAGCTGATATACTGGAGCGAGCGAACGCTTATCACATTGGGTTGAACGACAGACTGATAGTGAACTTACCCCTTCATAAGTCTCTTTATGTAAGACTCCACTTGAGCCAACAGGGACTTCTCCTTGGCGGGGGAGGCAGAGTCTGAGCGAGTCTCGGAGCTAGACATGGATCGACGGCGCGGAGGTCAAGCTGCAAGGCGTGAAGGTGCCACAAAAGACGTCAGCCACCATGCAAGCAGAGTGCGCAGATGAGGCTGGACCACCGCAGAGGTGTGAATCATACATTACCAACGTCTCATAGATAGGACACACATTGAACCTTTACTTGAAACAGGAAGACCATGAAGCAACCAAGAGTAAGCATCCGGAAAAGCCAAGTGTTGATAGGGGGTATCATCGTTTCTTAAAATGATAATCGCTTGCACGGGCGAGCGTTATCTGCAACGCAGGATTCTCCTTTGATCTCACGTTGAAGGCGCACTACGATCCAGGTGATCCACGTTGCTGCTTGAAGTAGTTAATGCAATGCTTGTTGGCAACAAGCATTACAAGTTGTTGCCAGTGGTGGACTGCTGCTGACACATTAGAGATTTTTCGGGTTCTGGCGCTACAAAATGATTATATCCATCCTCCTGTTGACAATCTCGTCTTTTTCCTTTCACGGATGTAGCAGTAACACCCGAGGGGGAACGACTCAGGCACCAGGAGGGAGGACCACTCCAGCACCAGAAGGAATCAAGCTTCGTTTCAGTGAGGAAGGAAAGTTCAGAGTTTTGCAGTTCAGTGACATACACTACGGAGAGGGGTCCGTTGATACACAGGGAGATCTCCATGATGAGAAAAGCAAGGTAGGGGCTATTTTTCAGGGAGTGTTGATCAAGGCTAAACACATTCCACTCAAAGCATCTGTCATTTGCAAGCTGGCAGACTTTCATGTGTTCACTTTCATAATAGGTATTCCAAGAACGAATGCTGACATTGTTGAAGCCAGATCTGGTAAATAGACAATGTGCTCACACTTACCATCGTCTCTCCCGCTTCCTTGTTACAACTCATTAGCTCGATCCTATCGATACGTACCTTTTGTACGGCTCTGTGATTCGCGTCTGTCTACGTCTTTCTGACTATAAGTTCTGCAGAGGTCACTAGGTCACCTCCTGCTGTCCTCAGGTCGTGCTCAACGGTGACATGTCCTCCAACTACGGTGCCCCGGGCCTATGCGCATCTCTATTAAACTGCACCGATTGGTTCGTCGAGCAGTGGGAAAAGTTCACTATGCCTATGCGAGCTGCTGGGGTGAGAAAAGCATATCTTGCCTAAACTCAATGAATGCTAAGATACCTTATGCCTATGTACTCGGCAATCACGACTGGATGGCCAGACCCTTCCCCCCTAAGGCGCACGATGTTATTCGTTATGACATCAAATACGGCAATACAAGTTTGACACGGGAAGGTCGGTAGAGCGTCAGCTCAAGGATCCCCATGCGGTCTCTCTCAGCCCCCGAAGGCCTCAGCGGCGCATCTGTCTATTATTTGCCGATCTATTCAGATCGAGATAAGAGGCCAACAGCTGTGTTGTGGATGATGGATAGTGGGATGGACAATTGCACAAGCTTCACGGGTTGGGGATGCATTGAGGCTGATCAAGTGCAGTGGTAGCATCAACTGAGTTGCTACAGGCGCGGATAACTCGAGTCAGGTTCGAGAAAACTGCGTCTACAGATGATCTCGCTGGCGTGCAAGGAATCATGTTTGCCCACATACCTTTTGTTGAGGTACAACTTGCGTTGTTGTTACCCGATGGTCTCGAATGTCGTGTAGGTATCGACTTTATCCAACCTATACGGAGCTAGGGGGATATCAGGAGCCAAGGGAGAGCCCATCGCATGCAGTAGTGCAAACACAGGCAAGCCGATTGGTTTTAGCTCATACCGACAAATGCAGCCCATCAAAATCAGTTTTTACAATGAACAGTTGCTAGAATGCTATAGCTGAAACAATCGTGACAACGGAACTGAGGATGGTGATGATATCGTAGCATCTTGCTTACTAGCACATGAGAAGGCGTACCCACACTATTGATACACCCAACCAATAGGTCTATAGAAGAGACTCATCTTGATATTCATGTATATCAACAAGCTCACGTAAAGCTAAGATATTGAGACAACGTTACACGATCGATATACAAGGATGATTCTCACGACCTAAACTCCAGTGGAAACCAGATTCTTTGTTCGGTGGGAAATTGTCACCACCCCTGTCTGCGATTCCGCCATTATAACTCAAACCATATTATACCAAGTATGGGATCTCATCAGGAATCTTTACATCTGCTATTCGACACAATGTAACGGGTATATCCCACGGCCATAACCACAACAACGACTTCATTTAGCCCGAAACGCTGCCGGAACGAACAGCAGGAGCAGACCAGACCATCTCATTCCCTCCTAGCAGGATCCACTCTTCACCGCGGGGCTGTGTCCAACGACCGAAACACTAGCACTGCCGCGGCGGACCACGAGTTTCATCTCTAGGACTCGAGAAATCAATGACCTAGCTGGCCCTCACTGCTCACACGTGCAGCCCCTGTCGTTCGCCATGGTCTTAGCCATGTATGCCATCGTTAGTTTTCTACAGAAGTTCGCGACGGCTGCGCATCGGCTCACACTTATTGTTATCTGCCCTAAAGTACCATCAGCGTCCATGAAAGAAGGACGTCGATGAGACCGATCTGGTCTAAGGCATTTTAGTAGGATATGCATGTTATCATCCCTCTCGGCACAATTAGTGCATTCTCTGTCTATGTTTGTCCAGTTTTCCCTTCCAGACATGTAGGTGTACCCTTTCAAAATCTCAGAGTGTCCTGATAGCACTTGAAGAAAAAATCCACAGTTACCTGCGAGTACAACATCCTGCACAATCTTCCGCTGGCGTTCGCTAGCGAAGGCTGGCCGAAGCGTTGCCGAAAGACGTCCTACCATTTGCATGACTACTCCTTCCATGGCTCGTTCAAGTTTGCGGCGAGTCTCCTGGATTGGCGACATGATCTCCAGCTTGGGAGGCGCTCCATCAATGTTGCCTTTCCTTGCCTCGAGATCTGCTAGCTGGATTCCCGGAAAGCTAGTTGATCCCCCACACCAATGAAACGTCACACAGCGACCAAGATTTCTCAGGCTAAGACAGATGTTAATGCATTCTCGACTTATCTCATTCATTTTGTTTCTCAATAGCGCACGTAAAGCTTCTTTTGAGTCGCTCACAATATGCAAAGTCCGATACGGCGAGCTCTGAGCTTTCACAGTTCGACGGAA